TTTCTCGAGAGATAGAATAGCAAGTGGGTATGTGATTGGAAAGTTTTTTCCCTTGTGATGCTAATTTGCTGGATGCCGCACTTCGTTGGCAATTGCCAAAATACTAATAATGATAATTTCACATGGCCTTTTATCAAGTAAAGAAAACAAATTTGTCAAAGTTTCTGGATAATGAAGATATTCTTAAATCAAAAGTTTACTGTTGTGCTTATCCCTGACAATTTTCTCTATCAAAAGAAGTGTTGTTTACATATAAATGTATTTTATTTATTATTTTCAGTTTAATTAACAAAGATATGTAAATGTGCTATATTATATTGTATTTCAATACTACAGTTTAACTTAATTATGAGCAACTATGAGATGAAACAAATTATTAAAAAGGATGAATGCATAAACAAATTTTATGTGTTCTCGGATTTCATTGCATTCTTACTAATTTATCGGGTACAATTTGCATGCTTGGAAATCAATTTGGACCAAATTCGATCAAAACTTTAGAAAGTTAATTAATCACACTAATAAGTTTAACTTGAGGAACTTTAAGGAGTTGCGTCTTTATAATTCGTTGAGATACGTCGAGAAGAACTTATCTAGCTTTTGTTAATTAATGAAGACATGCTCTTTACAAAGTCAACAGAGACATGTATAGTTCGAATAGAAACACAAGGACACGTTAGAAACACAATTAAATATTAAATGAATTACTTAAAACATAAGCAAGAATGGAAGGAAAACGGAGGCCGATACATGCATCAGTTGTTCATAAACATATGTTTGAAATCTTAGTAGGTTTATCTAACGTTTGTAAATATTGCATTAAAATAAATTCAACTACTGGTCATATATTCTTTTCTTTTCTTTTGATCCTTTGGTCATATATTCTTGTAATTACATATATGCAACGTTCCCATTTATTAAAGTGCCACTAATAAACAAAAGTTGCTAGGAATTGATTTCAAAATTTGAAAGTTAGTGTAGACATAGGAGTGAGTCAGATATCTATAAGTTA